TGTATGTAATTAATTACTTAACTATGTATAGATTGAAATGCGCGTTTAAATTGACTTATTTAATTTCAGTTCATTTAATTACTGAGACGAATTCAAATTATATGAGAATGGTAGTAAATGTATTTACCTATATTGTATAAGTAGTACGGCAGTTATGTGTCGACGCAATAATGTATTTCTTTCTATTTTACTTTGTGGGGTGTTGGTTATGGTGAACAATGAAGAGTCCATCTAGATAGATAACGCACGACATATAACTTGAGCTCTTCACCAGCATAAATTAGGTAAAAATGGAATGTGTAAATGTTTATACAAAATGCATAGGTTAGATACTTACCTAGATTAGATAGACGTATCGAAATGTTTTAGGATATAGTTAATAATTAAAGTTGGTTTTGGAACACCAATACAATATACCAATAACTTTCCTACTCTTATTACTGAAGTTATGGTTAATGTTCGTTTCTAAAGCGAATGTTCCGGGCTCTACGTGACATAAATGAATCTACTTCAGTTCTCAAATCAGAGGTTCATTATCAGGTATATGATGGTACTATACGTCTACCTAAGAATAATTCTTGAAACTTACGAGTGTCAACAGTGATTTTGTATCCCGCACCAGTTCTAGCGCTTAGGACACAGCGGAAACTACGTGATTCATTACAAAAAAATAAACAAAGCCCTATGGGTCTTACAGGTTATAACTTTTTGTAATAAGCCTCGTTTTTGAATGGACATAATCAGTGAATAATACAAATCCAAAATACATTTTAATCGAATTTATCATAAATTACTTAAAACGTAACTTTTATATTAGGTACTTTCAACCACGTAGATTTAAATAAATTTTACTATATGCAATAAATTGAAGTATGTTATAATTGAATAAATAAATTAAACAAGTATTTACTTATATTATTTACAGTATAGGTATACCACGAATTTAGTCTTAATTGTCTCTCACTTTAATACAGTTTTGAAAAAGCAAAATAGGTACTTTTAAAAAAATATGTAAGTATGTATTTACATTTATACAAATCACCCTTCTTCGTAATATTGTGCTTTACATTAGCGAGATAGATTAGCGTTTGACAAAGACTCGTGTTTCTAAAATTATTTTTTCATATAGTGAGCCAATCTTTGTCGGCTGTTGTTGCGTGTGAAGACGTTGAATTATTTATGTGATCAACCCTTTTAAAATACATGCAATTATGAAGTAAATGACGGTTTTTATTTATTAATGTAATAATAACAAACACTTTAGACAATATAATTTGTAACTTTGTAAGCTGCAGGGAAAAACCTAATGCAGTTTCTGTGCACCTATTGATCTCACTCGTGCATACCGGTTCGGATTTATTGACCGAGCTATGTAACATCAGTCCACACTACAAACCTTAACATGTTTAAAATAGTACAATGAGACTTCCACGAGGAGTGCGGACAGGTCTTAAATAATTGATTAATATTAAATGATCACGCATAACAACTTTATAAGTAAGTTTTGTTAATAATAATTTAACAATTTTCATAGGTAGTAAGATAACGATAAATTCGAAACTACTATTGCATCCCCGCAGATTGCAATTTGCAGTAGTATCAAGCACATTTTAACAATCTATAAATACAGTGTGAGTCACGTTAAAGTGTACATATGAAAATAGATGAAACTAGACCTATTTTTATCGACAAAAAAGAGGTCAAAAATTTTTTGAGATTTTTTTTTATTTTTTTATAGAATTTTTTTTCTTCCAATTACTTATTGTAAAGAAAACGTAATAACTTTTAAACTAAGCGGTACATCCTGATAAAATAAAAACAGTAATAATGCAAAATAACAGGCGATACTAAAAAAATACATAAAATACACAAAAAAGGCCAACAAATAATAAAAAATGATACTTTTTGAAAAAAATCTGCTTAAAAATTCGTGTTTTTTTGGTTATTTGATAAATTTCTCCAAAAAATGCCCCTATAACCGGTAGTTTTTATTACTTTGTATTATTCTCTATCGTATTACCTTCGTAAAACCAAAAATCGCATGTCTCTATCCCTATCACAACGTTTGCAATGATCGTTTGAACTAAGCCTCTCCGGGCGCGCCATTCAACCTTCGTTAACAACAAAACTGAAAATGGCTCTAGATTTGTAATTTTGATAAAGACAAGTTAGATTTCAAATAAAAACAAAATATTTCGAAGTAAAATAAGCATTTTAGTTAAAATTAAAATTGTCTCTACCTGCAGCGGAGAATAATGTTGTGGCAGGCCTTTGTTCAAACGATCATAGCAAATGTTGTGATAGGGATAGAGACATGCAATTTTTGGTTTTACAAAGATAATACGATAGAGAATAATAGAAAGTAATAAAAACCACTGGTTATAGGGGCATTTTTTGGAGATATTTATCAAATAACCAAAAAAACAGGAATTTTGAAGCAGATTTTTTTCAAAAAGTATCATTTTTTATTATTTGTTGGCATTTTTTGTGTATTTTATGTATTAGTTTAGTATCGCCTGTTATTTTTCATTATTACTGTTTTTATTTTATCTGGATATACCGCTTAGTTTAAAAGTTATTACGTTTTCTTTACAACAAGTAATTGGAAGAAAAAAAATTCTATAAAAAATTAAAAAAAAATCTCAAAAAATTTTTGACCTCTTTTTTGTCGATAAAAATAGGTCTAGTTTTATCTATTTTCATATGTACACTTTAACGTGACTCACACTGTATATTTCTTTATACCAGACCAATTCTAATTCAGTTTAAATCGATGTTAAATAGTGCAAATTTATTTAATTAATTGACTACAAACAATAAAACCTTTGAAATTGAATCGCAGATAAGGAACAGATGAAGAGAAACAAATAGCCAAACCTTTCTATAAATATCAGGATCAGATGGCGCCACTAATGAGTAACTGTCACTCGATAGTGACTATGACAGTAGCGCCAACTAACGAGCGCAACTACGATAGCAAGACTATCACATACCTATGCTTATAAGACAATGCCGGAAAATGGCGTCTTTTTTTTTCGCGCGGCCATCGACCAAACCTCGTTTTTTGATTACAAAATAGTGTAAAAAACCAAACTTACTATGACATGTATACCTCTAAACTCAGTCTGAACTGAGTTACGAGCATTCGAAGTTTGATAATTTTACATACTAGATTTGCTTTTTGCGCGCAAGTTTGGTAAGAAATTGCAACATATGAGAGTAATAAGCAAGCGACAAGAGAGAAAATTACGTAACTAACATTTTGTTTATTTTTTCTATACTAATTATTATAAAGAGGAACGATCTGATTATTTGTTTGTGTTGAGTAGGCTTTGAAACTGGTTGCTACGGTCCGGAAAAAAATTATCAAGAATAACAATACGAAGACAAGTTGTATGGTATGTACAATCACAGCCATTCAACAAATTCAATTTTACATAAAGGAATAATTATATTTTTTTTATGTCATGGTTAATATTTTTAATTAACTTATTCAGACTTTACAAGGAAGCAGCTTAATTATTGATCTTATGTCACACCGAATGGTAAATTGTCATTATCGCAGATAATATTTTTGTCATATCAATAATGTAGAAGTAATATTCTATGCATCGGATGCTCAAGTGGATACAAGGCTTTACAAAGAACCACATCAAGCAAGAACTATGTTAGTTAAGATTACTTCTATCATTTATTAGATCACCTTTGGTTTCTTGCCATATTCTATTTCTAGTAAAGAATGTTTTACAAAATATCTTTACATAATATCTAGTCTTTCCGTGATCGACAAATATTTTAGTTTCTACTTTTCATAATTTTTGTTTTGTTTTCTAATTTTTAATCGATAATCTGATGACGGTCCGATGGAACATCAATTAATATTATCATGGAAGTTTACTTGAATGAAAGAAATGTTAATCTTGAAATTCTATGACAAATAATGTATTATGTTATGTTTTACTGACTGGACTTCGAATACTAAAGTTTTCGGACATGTTTTTACATGAATGGTAAGTTAATTGAATACATTCCTTTTAAAATACATATCAAATTATTTTTTATATGTATATGCGAGTCGTTTATTTATACATTTGAGTGTTGTTTATCGTTAGAGGGGGTTACATCATTAGCACAATACATAAATCTATACAGTATTTACGGTAACCGTTTAGTGAAACATTTTATTGTTTTTTTTTTACTGAAAATAATTTAGATGGTAAGTGACACGTGGTTTTGTGCGCGTGTAAATTGAGTATTTGACACCATTCACAAATAAAAGCACATTAAAAACAAAACACACTTCATTTTGGTCTTAAAACTCAATAATATTTTAATCAATTGTAAATTAATATTCTTAGGTGCTTTGTAATCGATATAATAGTCAATTGAGTTGGCAAAATAGTGACGTTATCAGTTTGTATTGTCGGCGTCGAATAGTTCGTGACACCCAAAGTGGTCAAAAAGTTGACAACACGACCTTATTCCAATTGTAACAAATACGTGTTTCGAACTTATTGTTCACTTTGGGTGTCACGAAATATTTGACGCTGAGTTTATTGTCCTACAAATCTATGGGAGTCTCGTTTTGACAGTTTTATAAAGTACGTCAATAGGCTAGTTTCCTAAAAAATTTTTTAGTCCGTCAATTTTAATAATAAAAAATGTTGGACACGTATATTTTTAATTGTCAACCAAACAAATAATTACAAAGTTATAGTGCGTTGAAGTTCCGCGCGACGTCACAAAGTGCTGCACTTTTAAGCACTCATTGACGACACGGGCCTTTTCTTTATAACTTTGGCACGCTTTATCTCTTTTTTCATTAGTTTGAAAAAGTGAAAAATACGTGTCGAGTATTTTTTGATAAGCTAACTGACGGACTAATTGAAACTCTTGCTTTTTTACCCAGGAAACATCCCTATTGATGGGTGGTGTCAAATACCCTATTCGGGCGCTGTCAAGTCAGAGTATTGTATAGTGGCGCTAGTGTGAAGTTGTAGTATTTTTGGCGCTAGTGTGAAGTTGTAGTATTGTGTTGGCGCTAGTGTGAAGTTGGGATATTGTGTGGCGCTAGTGTGAAGTTGGGATATTGTGTGGCGCTAGTGTGAAGTTGGGATATTGTGTGGCGCTAGTGTGAAGTTGGGATATTGTGTGGCGCTAGTGTGAAGTTGGGATATTGTGTGGCGCTAGTGTGAAGTTGGGATATTGTGTGGCGCTAGTGTGAAGTTGTGATATTGTGTGGCGCTAGTGTGAAGTTGTAGTATTATGGCGCTAGTGTTAAGTTGTAGTATTGTGGCGCTAGTGTGAAGTTGTAGTATTGTGGCGCTAGTGTGAAGTTGTAGTATTGTGTCGCTAGTGTGCGGGCGCGTCCGTCTTGATCTTGAGCAGCGGACAGAGCTGTTCCCGCAGCGTGTGCGGCGCGTCGACGAGCTCGCAGGTGGGGCAGTAGCGGCGCGAGTGCACGTAGTAGCGCAGCTCGAGCCGCAGCGGGTCTCATAACAGCGGGAAGTGGTGGCCGCTGTTGTGGCGGCAGGCGGCCAGCAGCGCCGCGTGCAGCGCCAGCGAGCGGCCGGGCGGCGGTAGCAGCGATAGCACGCGAGCCTCGCCGGCGCCGGCGCCGCTTCCGCCGCCCGTGCCCGCTTCCGCGCCCGTGTAGCGAGCCACGCGCGCCATGGCCGCCGCGCTCAGCTGCGGATTTTACGATGTTAGGCTTTGGTCTGATAACCAAAAATGTTGTGAATGAGATGTGGACTATATTTGTGCGTGCGATTGTCTCACGAGCTTATGTTTACAGGGTTTTTGTAATGCCACCTGGAGGAAAAGTACTCTTAATACTGTAGATAGAAAATTTTACTCAAAGAAAACATTTGTTTATTTTTGAAAAGAAACGGAACTGCATTCAAAGATTTCCGATTTTTTTTCGATAATTCACCAACACACCATAAAATTTTCTATAAATAATGAAAGATTTCATGATTTTCCTTTCATTTGATTTATCAAGTTTGTTAGAGAGTGTAATGGGTACCATAACACTCTATTACATAACGCATATTCCAACCGAAATACCACAAACACTAGAACAAGTAACGTCACCAATACCGCGCGGCAATGTACGTCATCAACTGAAGTATTACCTACTTGCCACAGCCTTGGTCAACATTGAAGCTGCGGACGGAGTTCAACACACCTTGCGCGCTGTTATCGACCAAGGATCTCAAGTGTTTTCCTGTTCACTATCAAGATAAATGTATGAGTTAACAAGGACTCATACAGAGAGATTTCACCCTTATACTTAACCCTAACCGTGACCCTAACGATCGATACAAGGTGTATTTTTTTTTTACAAATTTTAACTGGTTGGATTCCCGGGTGCGGCAAGCAAATTTTTGAAAATCTTTGAATGCAGTTCTATTTCTTTTAAAAAATAATAAAAAGTGTTTACCTTATAGGTTTTATTTGGAATTAATTATGTATTTCTAGATTCTACAACCGCATTTCCGAAATAAAGACTTTCTACACCAGACCATAATCCACATGGACAAGTCTACAGCTAGTTAATATTACGTAGCTAAACATTTACCTGATATTCATCATCTTCGTCCACCCGTGACTCCGTCATTTTGGACACCCGTCTCTGTGTCACGCAAAGCTAAAACAACACGTCACCAATTCAGAACTAAACAGTAGGAACGAAGAAATTTGAAAAAGAAAGGATTTGACATGGCATGAAAATTATTTGACAAAACAGCATGTTTTCTGTAAATTAAGTGGAAGTCTCGTGATGCAAGATTGCAAGCGCGCGGTCGAAGTTTACTGCTCAATGAAGTTGTTTTCCCTGACGCTGATTGACGCAGTCAGAGGTCAGAGGGCACAGTGAACCATTTATGTATGTACTTGTACGCATAATTATATTTGTTCAGTGCCTAAAAACAGTACATTACATACCTATTTGGACCTGTGTGTTTTCGATCTCATAATAGGACTCCAAAAAGGTATGGAAAAGACATTATCGTCATATCATTATCTATACGGGTCCTTATCCCACATATACATTGGCAATTAAATATAAACACACACAATAAGAATCGCATGGCAGTAATGCTTATCATATATCATTCTTACTTCCGCACGTATACATGCATTGACACTTGCCCTTAGGTCAATAGAAAATCATTAGTATCACGGGCTCACGTACGGCCGTCAATCTAAATACGTAATGCACTATATTTCTACATGAACATACATGAGTCATACATTTGCAGCCAATAATTTGTCATTCCGACTGGTTACTGCGTTCAAATCGTTTTGTTTGTCACTTACCTCAATAATAGGTCCCTGGTACGGGCCAACTGTGCAGAACCTGAAGTCAATCATTTCGACTATTTTCTCCGTTTCTGGATCAGCCACCACGAGGAACTGCAAATGTTTGAAAAAGGCTGTCTATATACATTCGTTTTACGGTTAAATAAGGAGTTTTAAAATGACACTTAAATCGAACATGTAACTAAAGACGATTGCGGGAAGCACCTGCAAGTAAGTAGCGTAGAAATGTCGTTGTGGTACTCCTTGGGAAATGCCTTTGTCCAGCGCTGGACGCATTGGGTTGAGAAGTAAAAAAAAAGTTGATGAATCGCCGTTGCCTGTACAGTGGTTAAGCTATGAGTCAACAGTATACCTTATCGTATTCCTTTTACCGAGTCATGACATCTGTCATGTTATGTGAAGATTTGAATCGCTTCGTCATGTAGCGTTCTGTCGCTCACCTAAGTGTGTAGGTATATCTCTATCCATGCCTCTCCAGAGGAATAGTTGTGTTCCCTGATCTTTCTCAGTGATCTTTATACGTAGGAATATATCTATATCCGCGATCACTGTTACTGGCTTCGATTGGAACTTGAACAGTACTGACAGCAGCGAGTTGAGTAGGTCTGGCCCGCTAAGTATGTTGTAGTTTAGCGAAGTTGTATAAAGTATCTTGTGCGTGAACAGCAGCTGCATCTCTAAGCCGGCGAGCGCGGTGATGTCAGTATATAATTTGTGCGTGGTAGTAAAGTAGCTCCTTTTGAAACTATAGATAGTTTCATCCACGAAGACGCACCCTACCATTCTTCCGCTATTATGTTTGAGTGTTATCGGTATATGCTAAATTATCCATGAGTGCATAAGCACACTACAATAATGCCGCTCAGATTGCTCGGATCACACTAACCGCACCCCGCGCGACCTCGACGAATAAGTGGTGGGGCGCGCGTTCGTGCGTGGATGATACGATCTACAGGGTGTCCCAGAATGGATCAATCAAACTGCTAGGGGAGGTAGCTCTACTAATGTACTATCCCTAAAAATATGAAAAAAAATAAAGCGCATAAGGTCATTTTTTTTTTATTTAAAATTAATAAGCTTTGCCTAAGTATCTGGCTATAATTGCTGCGTTTGGAGTTTATAATTTTTTCTTACTACCTAATATTAATTGTACATGATCGCTTCGTTTATCTGTAAACAAACTTTTGAAAATAATGACTAGATTTTGGGTTTGGAGCACTTTGTTTAAAATAAATTCCGAACTTGAATATTTTTTTTCATATTTTTTAGGGATAGCACATTAGTAGAGCTACCTCTCCTAGCAGTTTGATTCACCCATTCTGGGACACCCTGTATACTCCTTGTACCTTGTGCGTGAACAGCAGCTGCAGCGGCGCGCCGTCCAGCAGCACCTCGAAGCCGGCCAGCGCGGAGATGTCTGCTGTAGCTCCTGCTGCAACTGCACTAGACGCTAGTTGTACCTTGTGCGTGAACAGCAGCTGCAGCGGCGCGCCGTCCAGCAGCACCTCGAAGCCGGCCAGCGCGGAGATGTCTGCTGTAGCTCCTGCTGCTTGAATATTCAACTGCAATGTCTGCTCATGAACGCTTCAAACTCGGTACTTCTTTCCCAATTCCATAAAATTCAAAACTTAGAAAGTGACAAAAAACTTTAAAATAGGTAGTTGAAACAGACTACAGCTAATTTTCATAGTGGACTGTACTATACGATAAACATGTCAGTCAATTTGACAACCTTTGTCGGAAACATTATTCAATGAAAATATTGTCCGAACCCTTAGTATTTCTCTTCGACAAATACATTAACACATCGTGAACCACTTTTCTTTCACGACTATAAAAACATTTTAGCAATTTAATTCACAAAATCAATTGCAAACATTTAAAATAAAGTTTGTTTACACTTTGACAACAATAGACTGACATGCAAGGTGACATGTCAATGAAGTTTTCAGTTACTGTTGCCATTAAAAGAAATTAGTACCATTAGTTTTCCGCAACATGGCGAGGGTTTTTATGTTCCTGGTCAGGCTATACTTGGTTTACTTTGATTCAGTTAAGTATAAAAAAATTGCATACGTGACGTTATTGCACCTTAAGTGCGATATCTAAAATCTGGTTGCTGATCCTGAAAGTGCTTTCCGAGCTCTATTCAACGGTAACAATAATAAATTACAAAATAAACTGGATCTCATCGGCGCGCAAGTATAGTTCACTTCTCAATTCTGTTATTAAGTTCTGAAATGTTCCTAAACTAAATCTTTCCCTCAGGATTGGGTGCACCCAATATTTTCTTTCCTTGGCTTTATTTCGTCTTCTCAAATAATAATACCTGCCTGCACGCTCCTCACGTACCATTAAAATGTTTGTGCCACCATTATCTCGTAAAAATTATACAACTACATTACTCGCTGCCTTAATAATTTCCCGGGGGAGCCTTTAACCCCTATGGGAACGCGTCCCCAAGGTGGCGGATAGGGGAGCGCTCGCTCGGTTCTGCGAAAGTAGAACCAGGAGGGTAGGAGTGAAATTAAATAGCTCCCGCGGACCAAAAGGCCGCAGAAGGACACTGCGATATAAAACCCCTGCTGCGGGCTTCTTCGACATCCTCGGAGCAGAGGCTGCAGCAGTGCTGTGAGTCTGGGCTGGGGCTTACAGAAGAGATGGTGGCGGAAGAACCCTTCGGGGCCAACGGCGGCGCTCACACACACTCCGCAGTGAGTGACAGTCTTGGCGTCAGGTGGCAACCGGCCGTAAAAGAAAGAAAGCCAATCATCACAACTCCAAATCATGAAAAGTACAGTTAAGAAAAGGGCAAACAATACTAGGGCGTCCCCCTCAAGCGACGATAACAGTGATGGAAATGCAGTAAATACTAGGGCGTACCCCCGAAGCGGCGCTAATGTCATCAGAGCACCCGAGATATCACCCACGATGCGCATAGCGAGCTGGAACGTGGGCTCGATGACAGGACGCAGCTCAGAACTCAGCGAAGTATTACACCGAAGACGCATCAACATTTGTTGCATCCAGGAGACGAAATGGAAGGGGTCCAAATCGCGTAACATCGGGTATGATTACAAGCTGATTTATCATGGAACAAGGACGCAGAATGGAATCGGCATTATAGTAGACAAACACTTTCAAGATCGCGTAGTTGAAGTAAACAGAGTAAGCGAAAGACTAATGTCAATCAAACTTGCCCTGGACGATCAACCGTGCATGAACATCATAAGCGCATACGCTCCCCAGTCCGGAACCCCAAGTTCGGAAAAGGAATCTTTCTGGGAAGAAATAAGTGATCTGTTGCAGTCGATACCAAACTGTGAGTCGAAGTTCATCGGCGGCGACTTGAACGGTCACGTTGGTAAGACAACTACCACTTATAGCCTGACCAGGAACATAAAAACCCTGGCATAGAGGCGCGTCAATTGCATTTGATAGTGCAACACTGAGTACAGTCGTACCTGTGTTAAATTAATAGGCTAACTTTATGTATCAGGATTCAGAATTACGGGCTAATTTGATATTTTCATAAATTAACGAAAAAATATTATTATAGGTAACCTGGTTTAAATAAATAAATGAAACGATCAATCGAGCTAGTAGGATTTATTTTATTATTCATCAATAATAAAATTCAGAACTTGAATATTCAACTGCAATGTCTGCTAAGAACGCTTCAAACTCGGTACTTCTTTCCCAATTCCATAAAATTCAACACTTAAAAAGTGACAAAAAACTTTAAAATAGGTAGTCGAAACAAACCACAGCTACAGTCCTATCAACTTAAGCTGAGAATTGCATTTGTGTGAGTGATCGCCAAAAGTACCGTTAGTAAAACACATACAAATAAAATTAATGTTTTATTAAAAGGAAGTCTATAAAACACTTCCTACCAATTGGGCCGATGTAACGACACTTGACACATCCTTTTAAATAAATAAAAACAGGTCCTCGCTCAGCATATGCCAAGGCACGAAGTACCTCGACGCTGATATTCTGCGAGCACCGTTTATAGAGAGGGTGTCCAGCCAGCCTTACAAAATACAACAAAAAGACAAACTTTATAAAATTACAAAATAAAAACAGAGTAAAAACTTTTCGTTCACACCTTTAAAATACGTATTCAATTTGCATAAAATTTCTTTCACTTGGCTGCTTAATGGATTTCGTACAGGAAATTCACTTNCTAAGGGCTCAGAGTGTGCCCGAGCATTACATAATGATTGTCAAAGATATGTACCACCAAGTATCAACCAAAGTGCGAAGTCCAGCCGGAACAAGCAAAGAATTTGGCGTGAAGGTTGGGGTGCACCAAGGCTCCGAACTCAGTTCTCTGCTGTTTAATGTTGTTATGAATCATTTCACCTCAAATCTGCAACGAGCGCCGCCATGGGACATCCTATATGCGGACGACGTCGTAATGATCAGTGAAGATGTGAACAACCTACAGCAGATTTTAGAAAAGTGGAGGGAAGCTCTGGAAACATCAGGTCTGCGAATAAGCAGAGAGAAGACCGAGTACATGCACTGCAACTTTAGTGGCGTCAACAGCAAACACACCATCTGTCTGCAGAACACCCAGCTAAAAGAAGTGGACCATTTCAAATACCTAGGGTCAGTCATCAGTAAAGATGGGTCGATAGACACTGATGTCACCCATCGCATAAATACTGGGTGGATGAAATGGAGAGAACTATCCGGCGTGCTATGCGATACCCGAATGCCCGTGCGCATAAAGGGACGAGTATACAGAGCAGCCGTCAGACCAGCCATGACATACGGATCCGAATGCTGGCCGCTCAAAAAGCAGTACGAAAACCAATTGCACTGCGCTGAGATGAAGATGCTCAGATGGGCAGGTGGTGTAACTAGGCTGGACCATGTAAGAAACACACACATAAGAGGCACCTTTAAAGTGAGACCTATCCCAGCTAAATTGCAGGAGAGCCGCATGCGGTGGTACGGACACGTCATGAGGCGACCACCCGACCATATGACCAGAAAAGTGCTAGACATCCAAACTAAGCCCCGCGGACGAGGAAGACCCCGAATTACATGGATGTCCGTAATCAATAACGACCTCAAAGAAGCCCAAGTTAACAGTAAGACAACCCAGGACCGAGCCGCCTGGAGACGCATGACGCGGAGGGCCGACCCCAAATAAAATGGGAATGGGCCAGGCAAAGTAGTAGTTAATAAGTACAATACTGAATTTTCCAACATAGATTTATTTAATAATTCCACAAACACAATTAATTCCAAGCTCACCAAACAACTTTTGTAATTTAATGATTAAGAAAGAGTCGATAATTGTTTAGTTTTTCTCGAATATGCACTTGCACACCTTTAGTTTAAATACCATTGTAAACTTATAAACCTATCATGGATGTACTTAAACTTTAGAAATATTATTGTCTTGTAACTATCTGTTCTTTTTTTTTTTATGTGATAGGAGGCAAATTTTTAATGTTCATTTAATTGTTACTTTTGGGCACTCGTTGTCTTTATTCTTAGTTACTATTTTTATTTAGAAATGATATTTGTAATGACTGTTTTTGTGCCAAATAAATAGAAAAAAAAAATACATCACAACTAGAGCTTCGTCGACGTCCATCGTGTACAGTCGCCTCCCGTAGAGTGAAAATGGCACCAACCAGCTTAGGTCGAGCCGATATCCGATTTAAGTGTGAACAGAGGCGCCGACAACCGATTAAAATCCGGACCCGACACCCGATAAGTGAGAACTAGAGTTGCGCTATTATAAATACTACCTGCGGAACAGGGTCCCATCCAGTCTGCGTGAGCAAGCCGTGGCCAGCATACGCCACCAGGTCGGCGGTGGCGCTTAGCGGCTTCGTCAAGGCGCCGAGGATGCCGCGCCGAAGCGCTGCGGCGCCACTCGACTCACCCACTGCCACGCCCACCAGTGGGTGGTGGGCCAAACCACCGACGGCACCTGGTACAAAATGACACTAAGAATGGAGATATATTCTAAAATGGTTGGTAAAGAAGAACGGTCACGCCCCATACAAAAAAAACCCAGACCCGACAGAAACGAGACATATCTCAGTTTCTTTGTCATGTCTTAATTAGTTAAATTATAAATTATATATTTTTTATGTATAACACCAAAATATTACCCTTTGTTTTTGTTCAGGCGTTATACAAAAACTAATACAAAATGCCTATTTATCACCAAAATTAGTAAATGTATGTACCTAAATGTCTATTACAGCTGCTATGGAATGTATCTGGGTGACCTGGAGATACAGCCGGATTATACAGGGTATGGGTACTAGACAACGGATATAAACATACTTAACCTTTAACCAGTGACATGACTATTTTATAACACTATAAGGGACATGACGTCTCACAGGCTACTACTTCGAAATCAAAAAATTGACAAAATTGCATGTGGATTACTTTAAAATTGTTGTTGTATTTAACTATTGGTATGTCAATAAAACAAATATAAATGAATTCAATCATTTTTTTTATATTTACATAGAAAAAAACTATAATTACCAATTAGTGGTAATTTTCAGCCTCAATTGATATGAGGTCCTATTTTAGCATTTTAATAGACTTTATATAAATTCTATGTCAAAGAAGAACGGTCATCTGTGACCCAGGCCCGACAGAAACGAGACATACCTCAATTTATTTGTCATGTCTTAATTAGTTAAATTATATATTTTTTATATTCGAAATCTATGTATAACACCAAAATATTAACCTTTGTTTTTGTTCAGGCCTTATACAAAAACTAATACAAAATGCCTATTTATCACCAAAATTGGTAAATGTATGTACCTAAATGTCTATTACAGCTGCTATGGAATGTATCTAGGCGACCTGGAGATACAGCCGGATTATACAGGGTGGTTATACATATGGAACGATAAGTGATCTCACTCGATTATTTCTAAACTATACAAGATATCGAAAAACTAGTTACTGATTCTGAAAGTGCTTCACGAGCTCTTTCAAATGGTACCAATAATAGGTTACAGATTATGGAAGCTGGTGACACTGAATTTTTGAATTTTATAACTTCTTGTTTCCACCCTGTATAATCCGGCTGTATCTCCAGGTCGCCTAGATACATTCCATAGCAGCTGTAATAGACATTTAGGTACATACATTTACCAATTTTGGTGATAAATAGGCATTTTGTATTAGTTTTTGTATAACGCCTGAACAAAAACAAAGGTTAATATTTTGGTGTTATACATAGCACTGTGAAAACGAACATTATCGTGAATTAAACTAAAGGAGTCCACAATAAATGGAGTAAATGGCACATCATGTTCTTCTAAAATGTTCCTAGTGTACCATTCAGAAGTTGTATTTCCTCCATCACCCACCACTAACTCCGTGCGAGCTCTCAAAAAAATCCTTCCCCACACCAGAATTAAGCTACCTCCATAAACCACGATATTTTCAAAATTAAGACTAAATGTTACGTTCTCTTTGTGTCTCCATAATTCGCTATCTTCCATCGATCTGGTTTAAGAGAACTCTGCACTCATAAGTGAAGAGATCATGCCTCCAGTTGTTCAAGACCCAATCACGATATTCACGTGAAAAGTTCAATATGTTTTTTCGGTGCTGTGTCACAAGTTGGAGCTTTCTCGGGTATGCACGACCCTATACCAACTTCAGTAAATCTCCTGTGAACTGTGGGCTCAGTCACTCTTACTCCTCGAGTGTCTTTAAGGTTATTTCTGGCTTGAAC